TTCCTTTTGAGAATCGGTAACACGTATTTAGTTACTTTTTGAGCGAGTAACGAGTAATGGTATTCAGTTATTGTTTGGGGTGTAACGCGTCTGCTACTCGGTAATCTTCGACTTCTGCGGGCAGCCATCTTTCTTACTCTACTCGAAGTTTTAAATGTGATAGAATTTCTTTCGGAAATGGTTAGGTGCGAGTCATATAACGCAGAATGTGTTTTATGGCTCGCACCTAACCCTTTGCGGCACCCAACCAGGGACGGAAGTCGGTCAGCCGATTGCCAGTCGAACGCTGACGCATGCAGTGCTCGTCTGCTCACTGATTGGACACCACACTCTTATAGAAAAAACGTAGTAAACAGATAGTATCTGCAGCAGTTACTACCTCTATATGAAAAGTATTATTTGTTCCCTGGCTGTTTCACCTCAAATACGCCACGGGAAGTACATGCAATTGCTACTAGCCAAGGAAGTCGGGAGAGTAATCATGACTACTTTCTGTGGCTGCGCAGCCAACGCCAACGTCGGTCAAAACTATGGGCGCTCGAGCACTATGAACGCCGATCGAAGCTGTGCACGAGTACTTCCCGCTTCTAAGATGCTACAGAGAAATACGGGGCAATGCGGAGAACCGGAAACATGCATGGGCTATGACGCGCATGCAGGGGACCAGGTAGTATCGACTGTTGCAAGTAATTACAGGGTGAACGGTTTCTTTCTATTGAGAGATGGACCCTTGGACCATTCAAAAACAATATTGTGGAATGACATTACTGAAAAAAGAAAAATGTAAAATTATTTATTCCTGAGGTGATTATTAATGAAAGGTGTGCTTTCAAAAAGGCGGAAGACAAATCGACGGAGCCAGTGATTAGTGTAACGCGCGTTCATGTTTGTGTTTTCGTGTGCTTCGTTTGTGCATGTGATCCATGTATGTGATCCGTTTAGCCGATCGATGAAGCGTGTAATGTATGTGTAATATAAATTGTAAGAGATGCAAACGCTAAGCGCGCGAGCAATGCAAATATTTTCGTGGCATTTTAATTGGGCAATAGCTAGCGCCATCTAGCGTTTCGAGCTAAGGGGCAACTAGATTTTTCGAGGCAGTTAGTACCCGTTTCTAGATCAATGTACCGTAGCGTTTTCTACTAAGTCTTAAAATGAAGCTAGCTCCAGTTACCGACTTCCTCGATTAGCAACAGTTGCGAACACGCCCCTTCCTAACTGTAGTTACTAAGAGCTTATAGTCGGTGACAGGTCAAGAACAAAGTGGAGGCTCCTCCCACCTCTCTCCCCTTTGTCAGAGCGAAGGCTGGAGAGGAGGCGACCTCCTCTCCACCGTTCACTCCGCTGAAGTGGAAAAGGGTGGGTGGAGCCTCCACTTCGTCCTTGACCTATCACCGACTATAGTAACATATGCGATAAACTGTTACTGACCTGAAGTTAGTAAGTACTAGGACATTTTTTCTAAGGGTGCACCAATGCCAGCCGAACGTTTTCTTCGAGCGGGAAAAAGATCACGTGCTCATACACATAGTGGCGCTTTGCTCCGTGAAACGAACACGCAACGGGCATCCACGGAGAAAGAGCGCGGTAGAGGGCGACAGAAAAGCAGACGCTCGACGTGCTCTTTTTGCCGCAACGGTAGAGCGCGTTGAGGTACGTTCCGAGAGTTTCGTTCTCTTTTCCCGTGGGATGCGACCGGCGCTGCCACGTCTTAATTGTTCCGTTTCCCGCGCGCTGCGTCTACTGCGTCTCACACTCCAACAGGCTCTCACAAAGTCGCATTTGCATTACCACCGCAAAAGATGGCACCCAGCTACATACCATCCGCGCCGTCCAATCACCATGTGTGTACGCAGTTGCTCCACGCTAACGCATCACAATCTGAGCTACCACTGCCTTTGTCACGTTAATACAGCAAAAGCGACTACTCTTTCTTAGACTGGGTGATTTAGCGCCGAAAAGGTCCCTACTCCGTTTCAAATGTCGATGGGCCGCACCCACGTACTGCGCGACCCATCCCCGAAGGCCACGTGACACGGCACTGGATCGGCTTCGATCGGTCGTAGGGTGCCATGCGGTTCCATCGTATACGGCGAAACAGAGTTACGCTATAGCTACTACGTCGATTGGATTTATTCGCTCGGGAAGACCCGAATCTCCGTTTTCTTGGTTCATGACGTATTCGTTGTACACCGAGAACTTACAGTAACGGTAAGGGCAACCAGGCAAGAGCACAACCAGACACTAGAGTGTTTAAGGGAACCGTTTTTGCCCATCCGATACGGTATACCCTCCGGTACGCACTGCGCATGAAGACTTGCACATGCGTAGTTCGTGTCGGAGGCCCAATCGTACCGCATCGGATGGGCTAAAACGGTTCTCTAAAACTCTCTACTATCTCCGGTTCGTTTCAAACTTGTTTTCCTTCTGCCAAGAACGGCTTCGCGAGCGAATACGGAAACACCAGCTAAAATGCAAAATGTTCGGGAAAAAGAAACAAGAAGATGCAATGTGAAGAGTTCTGGCGTGATTCTAGAACGAACCGCAGACAAAAATGCGTGGCGAGATAGATTCGATGCTGCCGTGCACGCGCTCTGTCACGTCGCGATAAGTAAGCACCGCAAAGAACAGCAGCTATATTCGGAGCAATGTCTTCACCGCTTTTCCTCCTGACTTGACAGACATTTTCCCGCTAGTTTTAAGTTCTACCAGATACGCGGGAAAGATTTCCCACCACCTGCTGCACGTCAACGCGGCAGAATAACGTACAATTATGGTTTAGCATCCGGGCATGCCTTCAGCCCCACTGGATCAGGAGCTTCGAAGCCCAGCTCTTGCGGAGTCTGTTGACTTCAAGCGCGGCAGACCTTTCTGTCCAATGCTAACGTGAATGAGCGAGACAGCCGCAATAGGAGATCTCTGTCCGCGTTGGCACATCGGAACACAAACGCCTCCACGCACCGCGATGATAATAGGGAGAGATAGTTCCGATACCACCGATAACGACGCGATGTATGTGGTAGCGGGTACCGTTATCGGAGGTACCGAACGATCTACTAAAACTCTCTAGTCGTCCGCCACACAAATCACCAACGGCCCAACGACGATTCCCGCCAACGCTCGTTGTCCTCCTCTATTTCCCATTTCCGCCGCCAGGTCGCGGAAGTTTTCGCCGCGCAGCTCCCCGTTTCTAAGTCACGTCTTCGCGGCTGAGAGGCGCCTCACCCTCTGGAAACGCGTGCCTGGAACGCGTCTCTGACAGTCAATAAACCAGTCGGAATCGTCGAGCGGAGCACCGCAGTGGAACTCAAGTAATTTTGTTTATGTTTCGGGAGCGGAAAGTCAACCCACATGGGCGTCTGCTGACTCACCCGTTGACGAGAAATTTAGCCACTGCAAAGGCTCCAAGTTGAACACTCGTCGAGAAAATCGGCAAGATCTCAGACCGCTGCGATTGGCCAGCGCCATGGTCGAGCGGAACGCTGGGACCCGCTGGCCAATCGCGGCGGTCCGAGATCTCGCAGACTGTCTTGCCGAGTGTCCAACTTGTAGCCCCGCGCGTCTTTCACGTGCACCTCGCAGTAGAGATACACGACCGCACGCTTGTACGATGATCATCCTGATCGAAACGGGCAGGCGTGAGGACTGAAATCACGAAGCCTGTCCTAGCCTGGCCTGGGTTCTGCAGCGCGAGCTTTTACCCCACGTGCCTCGAGCTGCCCTGCGCTAACACACTCGGCCACCGAAAGATGGCAGCCATTTACTATACAACCTAGAGTGCCTACATACAAACGCGCGCTTTTGCTTGAGTGGTGACATCTCAGCCATTTTTCCCCCCAATCGTTTTTTTGTGCATCTTGAAGTGCGTGCAATCCGGTGTCACTCAGCTCGAGCGCGTAGCTTTGGCTAATGCATAGACGCCATTTTACCGCCCAAGTCACGCACCGAGTGCGCGAGAGCCTCGCGCGCTGGCATATTCAGGACAACAATGGATGTCTCCACCCTGAGACAGACAGACATGTAGGCACCCTAATACAACCTAGAGTTCATCTCCGTAGCGCCGTCTTTCCTGCACGGCATGTTGATCTCGCTCCTCACGTGACTGACTTCGGCGAATAGCGGTGCCGCGCGTTCGAGGCGCGCGGCGCGCTCAGAAGCAGGGGAACGTACGGCGGGGCGCGTACCACATCTACTTTCCTGCACGGCACCTGATCCGGCTCCTCACGTGATCGGATCTCGGCGAATGGCGGCGCGCCGGCACGTGGAAAACGGACGCGCAACTCTGGCTCCCGTAAGGAGCCTATACAGGAACTTTAATACGACCTAAAGCCCCTCTATTCTGGCAAAAGTGGCGCCATTCATTGTTGCATGGCGTCTAAAATCTAGTCTAGTGCTGCCCTGAGCCGCCATGATCTTCCCAAAGGCTGTACGTTGCACGTGCCTCGTCCATCGATGCACCTTGCGCTACTTTTGAAACATGAAGGGGCTTTAATACGACCGGCGTGTGGTAAACTCGAATGAAGGGGTCGGCTATTGGCGACTACAGCGAAATCGACGCCGCGTAGCGGCAACGCCGAGAGGCTTAAGGGAGGAGGTCGCTTCAACTCTGTCGTCTGCTATCGATGCTTGGTTCTCGGAGGCGGCATAGAAACAAACATCGTTTCTAGTAATTCTTTTTATGCTTCCGCCGTGTCATTTCTACGCATTCACTAGAAGGTTTTAACCGTCGAAAAATCGCTTTGCTTTTATATGTAGCATCCAATCTACGCTAACGTGCAAGAAACACATGGTGGTCCGTGTGCTGGACGGCGAAAACGACCTCCTTTCGTCCGCCATTTTGCCTGACCAGCGCGCCCCCTATGGTTCGCCAGAATCGGTTATGCTGCCTCGCTCGGTGTCGGCCCTCCCCGGCGGATGCGCAGGCGGTGCTGACAAGGTGAAACCATAGCGAGGTCTTTACGCACGGCCGCAGAAGGTTCGGGTGCGTCGGTCGTACTCACCACTGCAGCTGCTGCGCGAACTCGTGCGTGAACATGGTGTGCGTGTACTGGCCCGGCGACGTGAGTGGGTACACGGACGGCCTCGGAATACCTGCGGAGGGGGGAAACAAAGGGGGTATCGGTCAGTTTCCCGTCTCAGGCGGGTCGGATTCACGCTGGCTGAGCCCGCACAGTGCCATCACGTAGTGAACACTACGAAGTGAGAACCTAAGCGCGCGACCGTGAGCCGTGACCACGTGCCGTTTGTATCTGTAATGTTGATTTTCTTGACGCAAATTAATCGCAACGATTAATGGACGAAGAGCCTTACTGGCATAGCTGCTTTCAGCGCGCCCGGAACCACGACCGGAATAAAGATAAAAAACATTACTCATCTCGATGATTCCCGTCAACCCGGAAAACACAGAACGTGTAATGCGTGCATTACTCCCCGCATACGATTTGTTATGCTCGATTAAGCCAGGGTCACGCCGCTTGTGTATACATCACACAAAAGACAGTCTGCAAACAGATTCGAACGCGAGTCAACACGAGGTATGCACTTAAAATGCCGCACGGCCACAAGTTCGAGGAGAAACTTGGCACGCGGCATTCGAACCTCGGGTATCGCGGTCACTGAAGTCTGCAGACTGTCTTTTGTGCCATGTATAAGCAGAATGATCTAGACGAAATCGAGTTTATTCAAAAGTGGACAGTGTGAGGAATATGCGAGGAGTGTGCTTTAATGCGAAGTTTCCACAAGTTGGGTTGCCAGGAGCCCCTTCCGGACAATGAAGTAGTAATCGCGCGGGGAGGAGGGTTATGTCGGCGGTTACGCCGTCTATTGGCTGCTGTCCGAAGCCGTGAGGTCATACGCCCGCTGCGCAATCCGTTGATTCGATCCGCCACGTGACGTCATGAGCACGTGGGAAGCTTTGTCATCCGGGAGCCAGCTGCGCGGTCACCACATTGTTTACATTAATAACTAAAGCATGCACCCGCTACTTGACGTCATTAGCACGTGGGAAGCTTTGTCATCCGGAAGCCAGCTGCGCGGTCACCAGATTGTTTAGCTTAATAACTAAAGCATGCACTCGCTACCTGACGTCGTGAGCACGTGGGAAGCTTTGTCATCCGATGGCAGCTGCGCGGTCACCACATTGTTTAGCTTAACTGAAGCATGCACCCGCTACGTGACGTCATGAGCACGTGTGAAGCTTTGTCATCCGGGAGCCAGCAGCGCGGTCACCACATTGTTTACCTTAATAACTAAAGCATGCACCCGCTACGTGACGTCGTGAGCACGTGGGAAACTTTGTCATCCGGGAGCCAGCTGCATGGTCACCACATTGTTTAGATTAATAACTAACGCATGCACCCGCTACGTGACGTCATGAGCACGTGGGAAGCTTTGTCATCCGGAAGCCAGCTGCGCGGTCACCACATTGTTTACATTAATAACTAAAGCATGCACCCGCTACGTGACGTCGTGAGCACGTGGAAAGCTTTGTCATCCGGGAGCCAGCTGCGCGGTCACCACATTGTTTAGCTTAATAACTAAAGCATGCGCCCGCTACGTGACGTCGTGAGCACGTGGGAAACTGCCATCCGGGAGCCAGCTGCACGGTCACCATATTGTTTAGATTAATAACTAACACATGCACCTGCTACGTGACGTCATGAGCACGTGGGAAGCTTTGTCATCCGGGAGCCAGCTGTGCGGTCATACATTGTTTAGCTTAATAGCTAAAGCATGTACCCGCTACGTGAAGTCATGAGCACGTGGGAAACTTTGTCATCCGGGAGCCAGCTGCGTGATCACCAAATTGTTTAGCTTAATAACTAAAGCATACACCCGCTACAGGAAGTCGTGAACACGTGGGAAACTCACCCGGGAGCCAGCTGCACGGTCACCATTGTTTAGATTAATAACTAACGCATGCACCTGCTACGTGACGTCATGAGCACGTGGGAAGCTTTGTCATCCGGGAGCCAGCTGCGCGGTGACCACATTGCTTATTAGATTAATAACTAAAGCATGCACCCGCTACGTGACGTCATGAGCACGTGGGAAGCTTTGTCATCCGGGAGCCAGCTGTGCGGTCATACATTGTTTAGCTTAATAGCTAAAGCATGTACCCGCTACGTGAAGTCATGAGCACGTGGGAAACTTTGTCATCCGGGAGCCAGCTGCGTGATCACCAAATTGTTTAGCTTAATAACTAAAGCATACACCCGCTACAGGAAGTCGTGAACACGTGGGAAACTCACCCGGGAGCCAGCTGCACGGTCACCATTGTTTAGATTAATAACTAACGCATGCACCTGCTACGTGACGTCATGAGCACGTGGGAAGCTTTGTCATCCGGGAGCCAGCTGCGCGGTGACCACATTGCTTATTAGATTAATAACTAAAGCATGCACCCGCTACGTGACGTCATGAGCACGTGGGAAGCTTTGTCATCCGGGAGCCAGCTGCGCGGTCACCACATTGTTTAGTTTAATAACTAAAGCATGCACCCGCTACGCGACGTCATGAGCACGTGGGAAGCTTTGTCATCCGGGAGCCAGCTGCGTGGTGACCACATTGTTTAGATTAATAACTAAAGCATGCACCCGCTACGTGACGTCATGAGCACGTGGGAAGCTTTGTCATCCGGGAGCCAGCTGCGCGGTCACCACATTGTTTAGTTTAATAACTAAAGCATGCACCCGCTACGTGACGTCATGATCACGTGGGAAACTGTCATCCGGGAGCCAGCTGCACGGTCACGACATTTAGTTTAATAACTAAAGCATGCACCCGCTACGTGACGTCATGATCACGTGGGAAACTGTCATCCGGGAGCCAGCTGCACGGTCACCACATTGTTTAGTTTAATAACTAAAGCATGCACCCGCTACGTGACGTCATGATCACGTGGGAAACTTTGTCATCCGGGAGCCAGCTGCACGGTCACCACATTGTTTAGATTAATATCTAACGCATGCACCCGCTACGTGACGTCATGAGCACGTGGGAAGCTTTGTCATCCGGGAGCCAGCAGCGCGGTCACCACATTGCTTAGCTTAATAACTAAAGCATGCACCCGCTACGTGACGTCATGAGCACGTGGGAAGCTTTGCCATCCGGGAGCCAGTTGCGCGGTGACCACATTGTTTAGATTATTAACTAAAGCATGCACCCGCTACGTGACGTCATGAGCACGTGGGAAGCTTTGTCATCCGGGAGCCAGCGACGCGGTCACCACATTGTTTCGATTAATAACTAAATCATTCACACGTTTTCTTTCACATGGTGTAGACACACTTTTATAATAATAATAATAATAGCTTATTCTCATTCCAGGTAATTTTGGGAACCGAGAAGTCGTGCTGGATAGCTTGACGAGCTCTCACACGAACCTGGTCGAACTTTGGCAAAAGGTCGAAGGTCCGCCCTACCAATCTATCAGGTTGGGCAAAAGTGCGTGACATCCACCGAAATTGCAAAATTTTACCTGTTTTTTTTTTTCTTCTTTTTTTTTTTTTATTTGAAAATAAACTTTAGAAGGGCGCGAGCAGAAGACGGAGCCGAAGGAAGGAAACGGTGAGGACGTGCTGCGAGGAAGACGGGCAGGCGGCGGGCGCGGCGAGGTGCGGACAGCCAGAAGCAAGGAGAGCAGCGACGCGTTCCCCACGCCGCCCGTGCTGCACGCGCGGGTCAATATTTGCCCGGCGGTCACGACCAACCCGACCTACGCTACCGCTCGCCCGAGGAACAACCGCACCCCTCGGGCTGACCGAGCAAAGGAAGAGAACCCGGTCCACCGAGCACGGGCGCGTGGGCAGAGTGAGGTCTACGGACCAACTTGCTGTTTACAAGCAAGTCCCCGTCCGGTCCACACCGGGCGTGGGCACTGCGCAGGACGAACATCCGCGTGAGATGAAGCGTCCGCGCATGTGCAGTGCATGCCGACAGCAGCGCCACCTATTTTTATGCCTCCAGCGCCGCGTGCGCCATAAATAATGACTTCTTGTCGTCCGCTCATTTCCGCCGGAAACGTGGCTCCGCTCTTATGGCACTTTAACATAAATCTGTTTTTCTTTCAGATCGACGATTACATGTTTTACATGACACGAGTACTTTTTCGTACTTCTGTAAAAATCACGAGGAAAGCAAAAAGATGCTAACGGACGAAAATAATTTATTTCCAGACATATCGAACTCGGATACTTCCCGATAGAGCCAGGTAGTAACGATTCCGCGATTGGTTTCTAGTTGTATCGAGAAACTCCAGCGCGTCGGCTGGTGTTTTAAATTTTAAGGCTCGTGCACAGTTGCGTCGACCGCGCTGCGCAGCGTGGCACTGTGCAGCACAGCGCCTTTTCCCATTGGCTCGTCGTAAGGGTCCGCGCCATAGCGATAACTGCTCGACGCAAGCAGTCAAACGGAAGCGTGCGAACGAGCATTTATAATCGCACTACAGGTACAAACCCGAAGTAGTTGTACGAGTAAATCGAAGCTAAAGACGGCACTGGCAAAAACGGCTATCTAAAACACACACAAAGAAACATAACATAATATAAATATATATATATATATATATATATATATTTTTTTTTTTATGATATTGCGTTTCTGAAATATTTGGGTTACTTTACTTTGCAACGTGGAACACCATCTGTGTTACCCCTGTCATGTTGGCCGTCAACGCTTCGTGGGTAGGCTATTTAGAGGGTTGAGTTGGTGCGCATACTCCGTTAAAGATCGAGTCTGTGTGCAGCCGACGCCCCGACCCAACGGAGCCAATCAAAAGTGCCGAAAGTGCACCATCATGCATTGCCCGTCGTCTTTGTGGCTTTTGGTATCGCCGGCTAAGGCAATCACGCGCAGAAAGAGGCGCCGTGCTGCACACTTTAAACCCGCCTAAAGTGCAGTTTGTTTTGTTTTTTTAGTGTGAAAACCCCGGTCTGTCTGACGGCCGACAGGATGGGCCGAAACGTCGTTTATACCTCCTTGTCCGCGTACTTTTCGATAAGCACAACCTATATATATTACTTGCAATTACGTGTTTTGGCCAAGCACTTGGTCACCTCAAGTTCTGTCCGTCTATTCGACGCGTATTGCTG